GGGATTGAGCCCCGCATCCGGCTCCCTGCTCAGCAGGAGGCCTGCTTCTCCCTCTCCCACTCCCCCTGCTTGTGTTCCCTCTCTCGCTGTCTCTCTGTCAAATAAATTAAAAATAAATAAATAAATAAATAAAAACAACAAACGGGTTCTGACTTATCTGTTGTTAAAGCAGAAAACACCTGCCTGGGCCATCAAAAGATTCCATGTCTGCTCTTGTTTCTGCCACAACAAAATGTGTGACTAGGAGCAGGTAAGTTAAGTGAAAGAAGACCCATTTCCTTCCCACCCTATCCCACTCCCATCTTTAAGCAGAGCACAAATAGGTAAGACTTAAGGACCCTTCCTGCAGTACCATCTCGGATTCTATCAGAGGGGGCATTAGCATAGGGCTAGTTGTTCTGTAGTAAGCGAGCCGCTCAGAATCTGGGAGTGGAGAAAAGATGAAGGGACGAAGGAGGTAGTTTCCTTCTCTGTGGCTGGTAAGCCCTTCTTTCCACATGATGCCTCACAGCTCCCCAACAAGCAGTACCTTCTGTTCCTTTTGCCCTCCCCTCCCCTCCCAGCCACAGCTGACAGTCCTCCTGAAAGCTGGCCCACAACGTCCACCATCACCCCAGTCTTCGAGAATCTGGCTATGACCGTGGTTCCAGCGAGAGGACCCAAACTGCTTCTGGCTGAGCAAGAGTCTTTGCCCTTTCCACCTATCTCTACTGAGGTCTGGGGCCAACTGACTGGCGTCCTAGGAGTGGTCCCTGCTCCTGGGATCCCTCTTCCTCCCTCACAGGAGCTGCCTTGTTCCAGGAACATTCTAAGGGCATAGCCAATTAGAATCCCCATCCAAGATCTAAAGCTCTTGGACCTTCCTGTCACCCTGAATCACAAGCTGGACCTTCTGTAAACGCAAACTGCTGCTACTGAGGACACAGGCAAGGCTGCAGGGTGTCAGCGGGATCTGGATGCTCCACTCAGGTTTCAGGCTCATAGGTTCTCCAGGAACAAGGTCAGGACTCGTGCAGCGGCGGCTAGCTGCTGGGTGTGCCTCAAGCCCAGGTTTGATGCGGGATAGAGGATGAGGCAGGGCATCTCCCCCCTGCTCGTTCGCCACCTGGGTCTCTGTCACCTCCCTGAGCCCGGTACGCGGTTGCCATGGGAACGCGACACTGACCACAGGTGGTTGGGAGGACGAAGAGGGACCGTGAGTGGAGATGAACGAAGCTCCCCCTCCCCAAGAGAGAAGCGCCAGGCCACGAGCGCCCCAAGGCCGGTTTCCGCCGGTCTTACCGAGGCCTCGGCCGACCCCTCACGTCGGAGATGAAAACACCAAGCTTCGCTCGGTAACAAGCGCTGGGACGTGCTGGTTCGCATTCGATGCATAAGACGTAGCAGAACTCACCCCGAGCTCAGGCCCCAAGGCCGACTCCGTCACGCGCCCCTCCCGCGCGGAGCCCCCAGTTAAAGGGCCACCCACGCCCAACCCCCCGGGGCTCCCCGGCCGGGCCGTCAGCCTCTGGAGCATCCGGGACCGTCTTCTCGCGAGGTCTCAGCCGCCGACGCGAACTAGACGGGAGGGGCGCAGGGCACATGCGCAGAAGTCCCGCAGCGACTCCCGCGTCCGCTTCCACGGCGCACGCTGTTTCCCAAATCCCTGGCGCCACGTCGCTGGAAACCAGCTTTCAGACTTTGGGGAAGTTGGGCAGAACTGCTCGATTTAGCAAATAAGGTAAAAGCAGGAGACATACTGATACTACAGTATTCGTTGTTATTCCGAAATAATTTTAAGTATCTAAATACATACCTATTTCATTAATTATATTTCCCTGATGGATTGGCTCTCCTAGCAGTTCGTTGTTTTGCTGAATGCACTTGCAGAATTTCTTCCAGAGGCAGTCTGTGTTCCGTTTACATTGTAACATAAATAGTAGTCGTATCTCTCTCATTTCGTTCTTTGTCCTTCTGGACATTCATTGATGAATTTAGCATTATGAGTGGTTATCCTGGCATGAAGTTAACACTGGGAATTGCTCTTCAAATTTTGATTTGTTGAAATACATAATATCATCCTTTATGGCATAACATGCCTTTCCCATTCTTCAAAATTACGTTGGATCTCTTGATTAGTGATTTTTAAAAAAGTTGTTTACTGACAAAAAGAGAACATTTTTTTTTTGCCAATTTTTCCCTTCCTCTTTGACCTTACACATGATAATTCACTTGTTCCCATGCTGGAAAAGCATTTAGTAACATTTATGTAAAAAAAGTCAAATTCTACAAGAGATGGAACTCATTTCAAAAGACAGCCATGGAAAGTACAATAATGATTATCCACAAGTCAATTTATTTTCCTATTTATAAGTAATGTTTTTCCCTTTTAAGAACAAGCTTGGCACTTATGAAGATTTCATCAATTCTTCCTTTGATGCTTTCAAGTTCCATTGAACACTGGAATATTTAATAATACTTTTTGTTTTTCTTTCAATTTCCATAATCCTGTTGCTAAAAAGATACTGAAAACTATGAACAAGAAATAAGCAAATTAGCTTCACTCAATGGATTATTTAAAAAGACAACAAGAAAAAATAGTCAAGAATATTGGGACCTTTCCTTGAGAATTGAAATATTATTTCAGTGCTTTATATAAACAACTCTCTCAACTGTGTTTGTTAAAGAGAACCAATGGGTTTCTGAATGCAAGAGACGTGCAGAATACTGAATGCCAACAAAAGTCACAGAAATCCTTTTGTCTCTCAACCCAAACAGCATAAATTCGAAGTAAGGAAACAATTTCATGACAATTACTTCAACCTGTATAGAAAGAATATCAAAAGCTATTCGAACAGCAGGTATTATAAGCAGGACAGCCAACATCTTCCATAGAATCATTCATGCTTTGTTTCAACTTGGACTAAACATGTCTGCAACTTTAGGCAAACATCCACCAAAATTTGTATTAGTATTAACTTCCACCAAAAGCAGCACAGAAGCAAAGGGAAAATATTTGTTTTCTGCATTGTAATGACTTGAATCCATGGCTATGCTGAAAAAAGGTGGGGCATTTAGATCATTGATAATCTCTGTAATGATAAGTGGAGCTACTATTTTTGTTGTTGATTTCATCCTGGCACCTGAAATTCTGATTGCAACTTCAGAATCAGAAAAACACTTCTGTCAGCAGTACGTTCAAACAGTCTATTTGAGCTGAGAGACTGATGATGATATAAAGCATACAGGGTACTCAGAACTTCTGCTGAAATTACTATCTCAATCTGAATTCCTCATAATAGTAAATTTATTTTGTCACTTTCTATAGTACTAGTTGAGAAAATAATACATCTCTTATGTTTAGCTGTTAGTATATGCTGGTTCATACCTGACTACCATTTTTCCATAAGGAACAAAAAGCTTCAAAGGGAACTTTTCCTTGCTTAATAAATGTCCACTTTTCAGAAAATTCATCACACAATTTACACGTGCATTTTGGCATTTTAGGATTCAAATATATGCAGATAAAAACAGATAATAGCAACTACTGCAAAAATTGAAATGATTGATAATCTCATGACTGCATTAGTGTGTCTGTCACAAGTTGGAACTCATAACTAATCACAAACGGGTTGAATCATTGAAAGCATTGCAAACTTGCAAACTAGAAATAAATTGAAGTCGTGTTACCATTTAAGTGGATGGAGACAGCTGTCCTTAGAAGGCCTGCTTGTAAGGCTGGCCTGTGGCTAGTATCTAGGAACTTGGATTTTGAAAAGGCTTGGGGGCTTGGACTTCTGAAGTGTTCCTGCCAGTCTACCTGATAAGAGTGGCTTACTGTGCCTAAATTTCTTTGTGCAAACAATATGGTTTATGCTGAACACGTACTTCTGAGAATCTGGAATTTTAGTATGTGCCAGGCAGAAGGTGCCTACATAACCAGCCCCCCATAAAAACCATGAGCACAGAGATTCTAATGAGCTTACATGGTAGACAGCATTCCCCATGTGCTATCACAGTTCATTGCTGGAGTTACTAAACACATCCTAGTTGACTCCACAGGGAGAGAACCCTTGGAAGCTTATGCCTGGTTTCCTCTGGACATTGCCCCAAGAGCCTTTCCCCTTGATGATTTTGTTGGAGTAAATTTTAGCTATGAGTAGGACTATATGCTGAGTCCTGTAAAACTTCCTAGCAAATCACTGAACCCAAGGATGTCAATCCAAAACCATTGACATCCGAAGCGGGATTATCTAGAACAGAATAGCACTGACTGACTGAAATATGGCTAAATTATTGTTTTGTCAAGGAAAAAACAAAGCTGGACAGTAAAGCCAAAAACAAACAAGCAAACTAACAGATTTTATTTGGAACTATTGCATTAGGGAAAAAAGGATCTCAGTATACAACCAGGCTCAATTCTAAATACAGCATGGGCAGTAGGAATTTATAGTCAAGGAGCAGAGTGGGGGTCAGTGGATGGAAAATTACCAAGAGGAAACATCAGGGTTAAGGAGGACTTAGGCTAAACCAACCTAACAAGAATCTTGCTAAAGACAGGCCAAGGTGATCAGACATCACCTGGAGGATGGTAGAGGATGAAAAACTGATCAGATATCCAGAGTGATCAGCTATGGAGGATGAAGGATTCTGGTTAAACTGATTTAGCCAATAAAGCTACCCACACAGTGGGAATCAGAAATTGCCGGACTTGTCATTTGGTCTCCAGTTGCCTGTACCCTACCTTACATGCTTACTCTGCTGATATATTCAATTTCAGTCAACTCCAACTCACAACACCATTGCCCCAGGGTTGCCTTCAATTATATGCCCCACTAGTTTTCCGTCCCAATTGCTCAAGGAGTAAGTTAGAAGTCCATTTAGGGGTCCATTTGCTGGACCAGCATTTGAAGAGGAATTATTTGAGAAGACAATTACATCTCTCAGTATACCATCCATCCAGAACATGTCAGTGACATGGAAGCTCTATTGAATGCCTTTTCCAGGAGTCCAGAATTGTGTATTTTGAGAAATAAAATGTGTGCTTTGGTTACTACTAGTAATGTCTTGTACTTTGAAGGGAAAGAGGAATGTCCTGGCAAATCCTTGTATCATAGTGTTAGTATGTATAGAGACGTATGATTTTTTTTTTAAGGTTTATTTATTTATTTTGGGGGGGCAGAAGGAGAGGGAGAGAGTTAAGCAGACTCCACACTGACTGTAGAGCGCAATGTGGGGCTCCATCTCACACCCTTGAGATCAAGACCTGACCCCAAACCAAGAGTGCTTAAGACTACACCTCTCAGGGACCCTGAGATGTAGGATTTTGATTTATATTTTTTCATTTATATTTATATTTTGAATATCTGGGGGCAGGAGATTCCCAGAGTTCTTTACTTTGATGGGGTTAACTCTTAAGCAATGTCACAGTAGTTCATGATAAATGTGAAGATGGGACCATTTTTTGGCAAAAGCATCCAGTGCTAAAATGACAACCTGAAGTTTGGCCAATTTCGTTGACCTTGGGGTTTCATCCTTTATCAAAGACTTCCTGACTAAGGGATGGAAACAGCAATATCCCACTGAGTTATATCATTTTTATGATGAATGGTAGTGCCAACAAACTCCTATTGCTCGTTTGGCTAATCCCAAGGGACTCTCTAGGCAGCTCAGGGGTCTTGAGGAGAGGTGGCCTCCTCTAGCACCATGGCATCTGGCAATGGACTGAGGACAGGGGATGCCACTGCAGGTGGATTATGCCAGAGATCCCAGGTTTGGCTCCATCTTGTATTAAAGAGGCATTGGTAGCTAGTGAAGTTTGTGAGGTCTTGTTTCCATGACCCAAGTATAATGGGCATCTGGGTGTGGAGGGCCATAGGCTTAGGGTCTGTGAGAGCCTTTATCTCTGAGATACCCCAGGATATAGCCAGTAATTTGTTGTTCTAATGGTGTATAGCATGAAGCTAAAAGGTGCAGTCTCTTCCATCAGAAGCTCTTGGGCAACTTAACTTATGTCCATGATAAGTGGTCCAGAGACTCTAGGAGGCATGAGATGAGACTGTCAAAGTCTCTTTAGTGAAGGAGTTTCTGAGAGCATTCACAAGAGTGCGGTTGATTTCAATATGGACAGATTTTAGAGTTTTTTGGCTGGAGAGAGCCCCACTGGGAGTGAGTTGATTTGTTAAGAAGCAGCAGCAGTGAGAGGAAGCAAAATTTATAGATGAGGACTATGTCATCACTAGAACCCCCCAAAAGACTAAAAGATACTGGATTTGTATGTCTTCAATGAGTGTGTCAAAAGAATCTCCTTGAAGGAGGATGTCATCAAGGTCACGTCAGACCTGTGCTGCAACGTCAGCCGCCTGGAGAAAGGGTGATGCAGTTAATATCTTGTCTGCAAAGACTGAGCACGACGGCAGAACCACTGAAGTATGCTGTGAGTGGTCTGAAAAAGGTGTGTTGTGTCCCTTGGGAACTGAAGGCAAACTGCAACTGAGAAGCTATTAAAACAGGCA